ACGCCAAGTCCCATATTTTCCTACGGACCCTCCAGGACCGTCAAATAACGGGTCGGGGTCCGTTTACCTAAAATATTAACCGAAGTCAACTTAAATCCATTTTAAAGTCAAAATTCATCATTTTCATAGATTTTCACATAATGACTTTCCGGCTACGCGCACGGACTGCACACGCAAATCGAGGTGAGGCAGAAAGAGGTTTTTAAGGCCTCGAAATACATAATTTACTTTTAAAATAAGTGATGACCTTTTGGGCATCACATTAGACTTGCTCGGATTCAGATATTTATAGGAAACTTGAGGTATAGTTGCATGACATTCGCAGTTCTGAAGTCCCCTACCACTTTTTCATAACTGTGTATTTCTTTCAGCCAGCTCTATTTTCATTCAGACCTTTATTTGTATTATTCTAGTAGCTCGTGCACTTGTGACACCATTTCTGGGATGACTTTTAGACAACGCTAGTATTATGGATTGATTGTTTTATATCAGAATTACTTCTGCATTATTTCTTTGATATTAAATTAATTTTTTTAAAAAAAAATTGTTCAAAATGGTTAATATTATTATAACGTTGGCTTGCCTAGCAAGTGAAATGTTAGATGCCATCACGGTCCCAAAGGTGGGAATTTTGGATCGTGACATTATCGTATGCCTCAATAGGGACTTAGGAACATACTTAGACATGCTTTGAATATCATTTTACATGAATAAAAAACGTAAATATCTTTAACTTCTAAGAGTAAAATTATTTATGAAATAAGCCAAAACAGGGAAGAATTAGCCTTAATATTCCTTTAGTGTCTTTATCGAAGGTGATGAACTTGGCCTTCTTCACATGTAATCTCAATAAGTGAATAAAAAATCAGATCCTTTAATTAGTTACACCAGTAGATAATTTCACTTTTTAAACACAAGGATGTATTTGTTGTTGCCATTTTTGGTTCATTGCAACATATACTTTCTAAAAAAAAATTCCTACTTAAAGAAGATTCTCACTTTCAAGTTGTTTCCCCTTCCTAACATTTGTACCGTACAAATGGGCGTTCGGTATTTCGGTTCGGTTTTTAGAATTTCGGTTCGGTATTTCGGTATTCGGTTTATCAATTATGTATACCAAATACCGTACCAAATTATTTCGGTACGGTTCGGTATTTCTTATTTTGGTTCGGTACGGTATCGATACGGTTTCGGTTTTTAGCAATCAATGCTAATTGCTAAGTGCTAACTGCTAAGTTTTAAGTGAAGTGCTAACAAACAGTGGACTATGCACTATTTTTCAATATATAAGTGGACATGCACAAGCACAGCACAAGAACGTGCACATGGCTGAAAGCCTGAAACACCAACACTGTAATTTTCACTCTAATTTGACAATTGACACTATAATTTTCACTCTAAAACTGTAAAACAACTGCACAAGACCACAAGTGCACAACCACAAGTCCACAACGTGAACGTGCACAAGCACTCAAGCAGTCAAGCACAACTGCACATGGCTGAAACCTGAAACTGTGAAACAAGAATAACATCTGGTCATCTGCAGTTGCACAACTATATTACTGCACAAGAATAACATCTGCAGTTGCAGAATAACATCTGTAGTTGCAGAATAATATCTTCAGTTGCACAACTGCCAATTGCACAATGCAGTGATGCACATTACTGATTACACAGTTAAACACTTAACACAGTCCAACAAGTCCAACAACTTAAACAATAAACACAGTTAAACACTGTCCAACAAAAACAGAGAGGGCATCCCTCAACAAACAGTCATGACTCTTGAGCAGGAGCACGGGGCGTTGAGCAGTAGCACGGGGCATGATTGCACTTGAACCTAAAAAAATATAAATCATAAGTTANTGTCAAACACATATAATTTATTCTTTGTAATGAAGTCCAAGTGTCTGTTGTTAGGCAAATTTTTGGTTGTGCTTCTCTAAAAGAACTTCTTTGCCTCAATTCACCGTAAACTTCATAACAATTCCTTGTTATTGTTCTACGAGAAAGAATACGAAATAGTGGTTGAGTTTTTCTCATAAACTTCATAAAGCCTTCATTTTCTACAAAGCTAAATGGTAGTTCATCAGTAACTATCATCTCAATTAAGGCCCTCCTAACCACTTTTTGATCAAATTTCCAAATTGATCCTTCATCATTTTGGCAAAATTGAAAATTTAGCTTTGTTTGACTATTATCTTCTGCAATTTTAAGTAGGTATTCTTTGCATCAAAGCAAATGATTCTTCAATCCTGTTGTTCCATTCTTAGATGAATTAGCAGCATAAGCTTGTTTACAATATCGACACCGTGCTTTCCCAACCCCATTAACCTCAAATTTATCAAAATGGTTCCAAACGTCAGACCTAGGTTGCATTGCTTTCCTTTTCTTGGAATCTTGAGTATCAATGGTGTTGGTGTTACTATCTACCGTAATAGGTAAACTTTCACTAGAACCAACATCACTTACTTTACTTGTATCTTCCATCTATACAAAATTAAACAAATATAAATATAAATGAACAATCAACAAATTAACTACCTAGCTATCAGTAACAATCAACAAATTAACTACCTTGCTAGTTGCTACCCTACAACTAAATCTACAAATTTAACTACCTAGCTATCAGTAACAATCCCAGTAACAGTTATTTTGAAAAAAAAATCTACAAATGAATTAAACGGCATGAATGTGATACAGATGATATTTTCCTACTAAAGCGAAAAGCTCGGAACATCAGTTCATTCAATTAGCAGTACAACCAAAAGAAAGCGAAACATACCTTTGAAATTGAAATTGAATCGAGCTCGGAACACTGGAAAAGGACAGCAGCGTGCCAGCGTCTTCGAGACTTCGACACTTCGTTTGCCCGGAATTTGTGAGGAGTGAGGAATCGAATCGATTCTAAGCAGTAAGCAGTCGATTCTCGTCTAGACTCGGCTACTCGCAGCTTGATAAGTGATAAAGTGATATCCTAGACTCGCAGAGTCTCAATCGTCCAGTCGATGACTCGATTCTCGTCTTCTTCTTCTCGATGATATCTCCAATTCTCCACTTCTCCAGTCGAAGGCTCGAAGCGTGAAGTCTGAACTCTGAGTCTGAAGCAGTAAGCATTAACCAAACCCTAATGAGTAATGAGTAATGAGTAATGTGATTGTGTAGTGGGCTAGTGGCTTGGTTAATCTGACTTGGGTAATTGATTGGGCTTGGGTTGGGAGTTGAGAGGCTTGAGGGAGCTGGGCCTGGGTGGGAGTGGAAGAACGCTGGGGAATGGGGATGCATGGGCCTAAATTGCATTGGGCTTAGACTTAGTAGTGTGAATTTTCGGTATTTCGGTTTACCAAAATTGTAGAATTATAAAATCGAAAACCGAACCGAAATACCGAAAATTCATAACCGAATTAGACCGAAAAACCGAAACCAAAATACCAAATTAATTTGGTACAAATTGTACGTTTTTTGGTCTTAGTCGTAGTGTAAAGTACATGTAAGTCCTACCTGCTTCCCAAGGGCTACTTTAGTCTTTTCCTAAGTTTTACTAATAGCTAACACGTATACAGTAACTCTGACAGGTGGTAAGATATAATCCCTCCCTGTGCCAGTGATTAATTCCTCTCTGTCTCTCTCTCTCTCTTTATCCTCTTTCTTCGGTTGTTTCATGTTCAATTTTCTTTGTATCTCACCGCGAATAATTCATCTTCAGATTTGTTCTTATCTCAACTTCAATAACTGTGGTAATTATTCTTCTTTCTACTTCTTCTACGATGGCTTCCATGTTTCATAGGATACTAGGATTTAATATTCTAATTAAAAGGTGAAATATTAATCACAAGTGAAATACGGTATTAAACCGAAGTTTTACTCTTTTCAATTGGATGCCCTTCGAGGGGCACAAATTGCACAAGTTTCCATTAAAATCTCAAGGAAGAATTTAGGGCTCAAAATAGAGGTTGCTGCAATTTCCCAATTAGTTGTGTTTTATTGGTTTTGGTGAAGTTCTGCGTTAAAGTTTTGGTTTTTCTGAAGGTTTGAGTTATTTGTTTAAATAGGTTCATTATTATTTCTTGAAATATTGGGTTGTGCTTCTTGGTTTGTGTCTGATCCTGGGATTTTGATGATTTTTGGCTCCTACAGTAACAAAAGGGATTTACTTCTATTTCTTCTTCTAAGCGCATCTATTTGACATGAAGGTTAGTGCTTAGAGCAGGCTGGAGAGATTTCAGTATAAATTAGGGTATTACTTTGTACTCTAATTTGCCTTCTCTGGTTAAACTATCTGAGTGATTTAGGTATTTCTTCGTCTGTTTTTGGGTGGCATTTTGGTGTTGTTGGACTTTTTAACTGAAGAAAGGAAAACGCAATTGGTCAGGTGTGAAACATGTGCAAGACTTTTAGATATGATTAACTTCCTAAGCATTCATTGAGTTGTTTATGTCTTCATTTTGATCTTTTTGTAGTTGGAGTCTGTCGCAGCATGATGGACCTGTTGTCCAGTTTGTGATATTGAAATTAGGAAGGAACTTTAAGAGTGACATTGGAAGTGTGATTGTGAAATCTCATGTTATCTTATTTAAGACGCCACCATGTTTAAGTAAGTCTCGCATTGATAGTAGAATTTAAAAAGTAACTTCTAAATATATGTCCATCAATTTGTTATCACAAAGTGCTTGAATGATGAGTTTCTTATTATAAAATACTTGAACAGATAGTCTCTTCTATTTTCAACATATATTAAGTGTTAATATTCTCTGTATATAAATCTTTTTTTAAATTCAAATCAGATATTTATAATTGATCAATTTCACTTCAAATAAGATGAATACTTGATTGCATCTCACATAGATAATTTGTGTTGCCTCAAAAGTCAAAGCAGTTAGTTTTTCTTAAAAATGTGATAATATCACACCTCAAGTCTTTTTCTACGTTTTTTTGGTTTTTCTTTATCCAAGTGTGATGTGAGGTTATAAATGCATACACGTAGATAGGCACTTTGCGATATTTTGGCATGCACTATACCTGAAAACCCATGTAAGCTCACTAGAGCACAGGCAATGAGCTAAAGAAAAAAAATCTGTAGCTTTCTTTAATCACAACCAACGCTATTCTAATGGCAGATGAAAGCAAAGGCAGAGGCACAAACTACTGGATTTCTTCTGCTAGCATTTGCTATTACAAGTATTTTATTTGGTTTTTACGTTGTTTGTTATATGTCCCTCTATTTCTGTATTATAGAGCTTTGTGAAACTAAAGCTTTGGCCAACTTATGAATAAACCAATGTGTTTATGTTAAACTCTGATTACATTCACTCTTTTTTCACTATCGGATAGAGTTTTTTTTTTTTTTATTCCAATAGTTTCATGTCCTGAGTTTTCAATAGCTACAAGGAAAACTCAAATGTTCAGGCTTCTATTACAGTAAAAGTTGTGCCTGAAATAAGTTATTACTTTTGCTACCTGATTTCTTATATGTTACTTCGTAAAGCCTTGACATAATTGTTAATAGGTCAATGAGTTTGTGTTCTGTTCAATCTATCTGTTATCTTTTTCCTCAATTCATTTATGGTTTAAAGTGTGAGACTTTTACTGATTTGTAAATATTGTAACTATAGAACTGTTTGGGCATTTGTAGTGTGTCTATACTTTCAATTTAACTGTAAATTTCTTTATCTGTTAAACTTTTATAGACTGTTTTAACTGCAGATGTCGACCGATAAAAAGCATTTGGCATCACCTTGCTGCTCGCGGAAAAGGAAGCAATACTCGGAAGAAACAGTCTCTAAAATTAACTCTAGGAGACGTGATATGTACAAGCAGTTAACGGTTAAAAAGCTTGAACTAAAAAAGGGCCAAACCGCACTGCTTGAATATACCAAACAAGCTGCTGGGTTTGAATTACCTAAACAAAAAATTCTGACGATAGTTGAGCCACCATCTGTTACTATGACAGGTTAGAAGCAAAAAAGATTTGTTCGAGAAAAAGATACATTTACACACACACTATTAGTAGACACAGATATATGCATGTATATATGTGTTCTCCTTCATGGTTATACTTAAATACAATCTGCTCTTGGTTAACATATTTGGATTTGAATGTTAAGACGGTATATCTTCGATTGCTGGGCCAGTAGCTGGTTGTGACAAAGGAAAAAATATTACCGACCACTTCTCCGTTTTTGAACAGGGTAAGCGAGTGGAAATATGTTGTTTCAGTTTGATTGTACTCACTTTTAATATATTAACTAGAGTTGTTTGTATATTAGGCTCCAGCTGTGGTTGAACAACATCATCCAGAGACATCTATCGTCACAAACAAAGGTTTGTTTCACTTTAATCTTATTACAACATTTACTCTTATAACAATATTTACTGCTGCTCTCTTCTCAACACTAACATGATATATTGTTGCAACTAATGTACATAGGTTATAAATAAAAAATAATAGGTTTGAACTGGAACATTAGCGAACTACCCAGTGATGCAACTATTTTAAAAATTGTACCGAACTGTAAATATTGTGGAGCAAAAAGATTTGAATATGAAACACCAACATTTTGTTGTAGTAATGGTTCAGTTAAGTTGATGTCACATGAAATGCCTAATGAACTCTTGAATCTATATTTAGGCGATACCGAAGAATCTGAACACTTTCGTACATACCTTAGACTATACAATAATATGTTTGCATTTACTTCACTTGGAGTGAACTACGACAAAACACTAGCAAAAAGAAACCAACGAATTTATACATTTAACGTACAAGGTCAAATGTATCACTTCATAAATGATCTGATTCCAACAAATCGTCAACCAAGAAATTTACAGCTGTATTTTTATGATGAGAATATAGAAATATTGAATCGAATGGCTTCTTCATATATACTTCGACAATCGATTGTTGAGAAGCTAATGAATATACTGAAGATAAATCCTTATTGTATCTTCTTGAAATCTCTTATACATATCCCAGAATTATCAAACTTTTATATTGCATTGCGATGTGGCTCTGGCTTAGATCAACGAATATACAACTTGCCAATTGTGTCAGAAGTCGCAGCATTATGGCTAGAACAAGAAACGAACGATAATAGTTCCGCACCCCATATTCGAATTTATACTCACAGTAACAAAAACCAATTAGTAAATTACTACTATGGCTGTTATGATCTTTTGCAATAACCACTTTTATTTCCTTATGGTCAAAACGGTTGGCATTGCGGTATTCCAAAAATCGTACAACCTAGAAATAAATTGAGAAAGCGAGCTTACTATGAGACCGAACAACTTCCGAGTGTCTCTAACATGTGTTCAATTGATGGACTACTTGATATGGAAGCGGATGTTTTGCAAAAGGGAAAACGAAAAAGAAATAATGTTTCTTGTCTTGAATACTACTGTTACAAACTCTAGATGAGAGATAATGAGGAAAACGTGATTTTACATTCTGGTAGATTATTTCAACAATATTCAGTTGATGAATTCATAAAAGTAGAAACTCAGAGGTTAGATTTTGCGTCATTTAACCAAGATTTATTTCGGGTTGATGTACTACAAGGACCGCAGATTTATTTCGGGTTGATGTACTACAAGGACTTCTAGATATCTTAAGACTTGGCGAGAAGCTTCTAAGATAGGAAAACAAAACTTTCTTCCAACAAGTTTTACGTGTGGTCCGAGAGATATGCGCCAACGTTATATGGATGCTATTGCGTTAGTGCAACATTTTGGAAAGCCTGATATATTTATGACAATGAAATGCAATCCCTCTTGGCCCAAAATAAAGCAACATTTGTTCCCAACAGACGAAACTCAAAATAGGCCTGATTTAATTAGTCGCGTGTTCAGAGCAAAGGTAGAAGAGATGAAGACAGATATATTAAAAAGAAACATTTTTGGAAAAGTTGCAGCTTATATGTATACTATAGAATTTCAAAAACAAGGTCTTCCACATGCTCATTTCCTTATTATACTTACTGATGACTACAAATTATTAACGTCTGAGGCTTATGACAAATTTGTTTGTGCTGAGCTGCCTGATCCTGATTCAAACTCTTACTTACATAAGCTTGTTATTAAACACATGATGCATGGGCCTTGTGGTAATTTAGATCCTACAAATTCATGTATGAAAAGAAATGAGTGCAAATTTAAGTACCCTAAGAACTTTGCTGATGAGACAACAAAAGGAAAGAACTCTTATCCAATTTATAGAAGACGAAACATTGGTAAATCTATAAAAGTTAGAAAAAAAATTCTTGATAACTCATGGGTTGTTCCTTAGAATCCTTATTTTTTGTGTAAATATAATTGTCATATAAATGTGGAAGTTTGCTCTGATATTAAAGTTGTGAAATATATATACAAATATATATGTAAAGGGCATGATAAAATTTCGTTTGGCTTACACGAAGATAACATAAATATACAAATAGATGAAATAAAAGAGTATCAATCTGCTAGATGGGTGTCACCTCCGGAAGCTATGTGGCGTTTATTTGCATTTCCTATCAATGAAATGACTCCCAAGTGTTTATCACCTCCAGCTATATCTTGATGGACTACAATTTGTCTCCTTTAAAAAAACTGACACAATAGACAGTATCCTGAAAAACCCTATGATTAAGAAGACGATGCTGACAGAATTTTTTTTGATGAATGAAACAAACGAAGATGCTAAAGAACTTAAGTTGTTGTATAAAGATTTTCCACAATACTTCGTATGGTCATCTACCTACAAAATGTGGACTCGACGGCGACGAGGTCATGTTATTGGCCGCGTTGTAACATGTCATCCAACAGAAGGAGAAAGATATTACCTTAGATTATTACTAATGAATGTGAGAGCACCAAAATCATACGAAGATCTTCTACGAGTAAACGAGATATGTTGCGACACATTTAGAGAATCTGCGGAAAGAAGAGGGTTATTGCACTGTGACAACAGCCTGTTATCGAATGCCTTATAGTTTAAGACGTTTATTTGCTACAATATTAGTACATTGCAGCCCTGACAATCCAAGGGAACTGTGGAAACAATTTGAAGATTCAATGTCTGAAGACTTTAAGAACCTAGCCAATATAATGGCAAAAGATATCCACCTTGTTGTCCTGAATCACATAAATGATATATTACATTCCATGGGCCGTGAAATTAATGAGTTTAACCTTGTTTCAAAAACTAATATTAATGAGTTTAACCTTGTTTCAGAAACTATCACGTCTTCAAAAATGGCAAATGAAGCAAAGGAAGTATATTTCGAAAGAAACATCATTGTGAACGACGAAGATTTACTGTTGCATAGAAAATTAAATACAAAACAGAAAATGGCATACGACGTAATCCTTCAGAGAGTATTTGCTAACAAATCAAGAGCATTTTTTATTGATGGTCCTGGAGGAAGTGGTAAGAGATTCTTATATTGTGCCTTATTAGCGACTGTGAGATCTAAAGGATTTGTAGCATTAGCAACAGCAACTTCCGGAGTTGCAGCTTCGATCCTTCCAGAAGGACGAACAGTTCATTCACGTTTTAAATTTCCAATTAATATTGATGAAAGGTTTTCTTGCAATATCAGTAAGCAAAGCTCATTGGCGCCTTTGATTCGCGATGCAAAATTAATTGTGTGGGATGAAGTATCCATGGCCAAGAAAAACATGATTGAAGCTTTAGATTCTCTTTTGAAAGATATAATGGACACAAATGTACTTTTTGGTGGAAAAGTTGTTGTGTTTGGCGGAGATTTTAGACAAACTCTTCCTGTGGTTCGAAGTGGAAAAAAGGAAGACTTCATTCGGGAAAGCATAGTGAACTCCGAAATATGGAATGAACTTGAAAAACTTCGATTATCAGAGAATATGCGTGCGAAAACTGATCCTTCTTTCTGTGAATATTTGATGCGAATTGGAAATGGAAAAGAAAAGACAAACATGGATAGTAAAATAGAAATTCCGAGGTCTTTCATTGTTCCTTATATTACTGAAAAAGAATCGTTGGATCTTTTATTTAACATAATATATCCTGATTTGCATACGTCTTTTCACGATTCTTCTTTTTTAACCTCTCGTGTTATTTTGACGACAAAAAATGACTTTGTTGATGAAATAAATGATAGACTTATAGCTCAATTTCCTAAAGATGCCAAGACATTTATTGCAATGGATGAAACTGTTGAACCAAATGATCAAAGCCAGTTTGAGGATTTTTTGCATTCATTAAACCCTGCTGGTTTGCCTCCTTACAAATCAATCTTGAAGGAAAATTGTCCCATTATGTTGTTGCGAAACTTAAATCCTTGTGAAGGTCTATGCAATGGTACACGACTGATATGCTGTGATTTTAAGAGCCGTGTTATAAGCGCTAAAATTGCGAGCGGTGATTTCAAAAATATACATGTATTTATTCCTAGAATACCGTTATTATCTTCAGATGATGAGAAATTACCTATTCCATTTAAAAGAACACAATTTCCGGTACGCTTGTGTTTTGCAATGACGATAAATAAAGCACAAGGACAAACATTAGATTATGTTGGTATTTATTTACGTGAGCTAGTTTTTTCTCATGGCCAGCTATATGTTGTTTTATCGAGAGCAAAGAGTTCAAGCCGTATAAAAATATTAATCCGACCATCTACGGTGGATAACGATGATGACCAGTCTACATATAACATAGTATATGATGAAATCATTCAAAAAGCGCTCCTATAACTCTACAACTTTCTTTTTCATATTCCTTGATTGACCATACATTGTTTATTTCAATGATTTTCTTGGGGTATATAATTTTTCGATGTGCAATATAGAATCAAAATGCTCAGTGAAAACTTTCACGGATCAATCAGTGAAAAATCTATAATTACAAAGGCTTGTTACATATTTCCACGATTTTCGTTCAACTCTGTGAAGCTAGCCTACCACGAAAAAATCAAGTTTTAACTCCGCCTGTGTTTTAGTGTAATGTGTTTCAGTTACACTACTGAATCACAGCCGGTCCGAAGCCCGGACAAAGGAGGAGGGTTTACTATCTCTCCGTGTTTTACAATTTTAAAATGTAGGGTGATCAGTGAAACAACATATATTGCATCTTCCAAAACCTAAAGTATATCACAATGCTTCTGTCACCAAGAAGAACTTTTTGCTGCTACCTAAACTCTGTTCTTACTGACTGGCCTGGCTCGAGTACCCCTCCTAGATGACTCACAAATGTTTATCTCCATTTTGCTTACAAAAATATCAATATTTTATCTCTTTTTCATTTATGCAAAATTCGGAGTTATTTTGGTTGTGCCTTTTGTTTAAAACTTTTCATCATTTAAATATAGTTATTGCAGGTGGTTTTGGAGGAGCACGGGTTAAGTAATTTTGATTTTGGGTAAAAAATTCTGTTTCTTCAACTTGGTTGCTCTGCCATGATTTGATTTGTTAACTTTTGGAGTGAGTTTTGTTCATACTATATTGATTCCATAATTTCCTTTTTGGTTTTCTTATGTGTTTGATTTTTGTTATTATTCTATGCCGAGCCGGATTTGCAGTCGCTTTGGAGGCCATTTGGAATTTGAAGATGTTCCATTGTAGGTTATTTCAAAACTTAAGTTTATTTCTATTATTCTACATAAATGAATGGCTAGCTATTTATGTAGTTCAAATATGTCAACCCTTTTGCTTCTTCATATAAGTACATATATAGATCTTACACCGAAGTCAACTCTTGAATATTTCAGACCTTCGGGTACCATACGAACTGTCTAGCTTTGTTTCTGCTGGTATAAAGGGATAATGTGTTTTATTTTCAAGCCTTAGATTTTCCTTGGTGACCTTTACTTTTGTAAGATGAGTATTTTTATTTTTAGTTCTTCATACAACAGAACCGAGCGCTTTGATTTTCATTAAACGAAGAGGGTTTATTGTCTGTTAGCAACAACTTTCTTATCTCTTTCTAACCTATTAAAGCCGTTATGGTTTAGTAATTGGTTCCCTGTTACGTATTTTAGTTGATGTTGTCCATCGAGTTTTATTAACATATTTATCTTTCAATATCAATTTCTTTGAAACTACATTTGTTAACTAATTTTATACTTTTTTTAGCAGAATCTTTTCTATATTATGCACCATTAAGCCATGATAGCTCAAGGAAGTGAGATTGGACCTGAAATGAATGACACGTAAGCTATATCAAACTACGCTGATCGTATAACCATTGTTAAAAAGGCGACAGTGTATTAGCAGAGATTTCAACCTTGGAAGATACACTACCGCTTTTTTAACAATCGTTATATGTTATCAAAAACAAAACTCTAAAGTCAATTCTCTTTCTTCTAATCTCTTTATCTTCTTATCCAGGTATGCTTTTTTTTTCCAATTTTTGCTCACCGATGGACTAAATGGCTATTTAGACTTTGTTTTCTTCAAAACTATACTGTAAAGTAACATAGAGGTATTACTTTCATAGAGGTATTTGCATATCCTTTGACGACTAAAGTTCTGCGAATTTTTTGGATAGAGACAATGGCATACATCCTAACACCACATGTTTTGAAATATAGCTTTGTCATCACATAGGTGAGCTTCATCTAAAATATTTTATTTTACTGATTTCTCGAAAATATAAATATCTTCTGCTAAAGTTTATCAGACGCACAATTAGAATCAATTACAATCCCATTGAACCTTAGGTAGCAAAGGTAGCAGTCTATTATGCTCAATGCCATTGAACCTTAGGTAGCAAAGGTAGCAGTCTATTATGCTGGAGTAGTATATTGAATTCTTTGTAAGACATATTTTTAGTTGACAGTGGTGATCGCTGGCTAATACACGAACCAATCAGATGGGTTGATTTAGAGAAGACAGACTAGGAACCTTTATTTTAGGAGTGACTGGAGTATAAAATGATTGAAAATGTTACTACTGTATTGTTAATAGTTTCCAGGATTAGCTGTTAAAAAATAATTTATTTAGCTTAACAGTTTCAGATATCTACTAACGTTCCATCTTCAAGTCATCTTCTGAATAAACATCTGAGAGCCAGGCCATTTTGTGAATCACTACTGAAAATAGTTGGTGGTAGACTGTTAATATTGGACAACTTTCTCCACCAAATATCAGACCAGAACTTAATTCTGAACAGTGTAAAGGACACTTTAGTTGAAGTGAAGCTATAATGAAAGCTGCAAGAGCTGAGATATCAGCTGCGTTGAACAAAATGAAGAAAGAGACACAGTTTGGAAGTGGAACATAACATTACTGAACGAAGGAAGAAAGTTGAAGCTGAGTTACAAGAAGCTTTAAAAGAGAAAAAGAAAATGAAAATGATGGAAAATATGTGTTCATTAGTAGAGCGACTGTACAAAATTTTTCTCTGTTATATCATTTTCCTTTGTTGACAAATTATCATTTCTCACTAGAAAAAACGCAAAAGGATAAGTGGATTGCCTTTTATCGTATTAGTACTTGGTAAGGCCTTCTAATTATAACTCTTTCATCATTTTGTGGTCTGCATCAATCTTTGGCAGCCCCCTCATGATTAAAAGATGTCCATTTACTTTATATATATTGAAAGTTACTCTTCTATTTCAACACATGCCAAATTTGATGGCCAAGAGCCTAAGAAACAAGTCAAACTACTTTGTTTGTCATATGATACCATTTACACTATAGTTTTTCTTTCAATTTCAATGACTATGATACCGTTTTGATTTTTCCCAAGAATATATGCGTCAGAACCGAGGAAATCCCATATACCATGTGTACTTTGTTTTACTTTTTAATCTTTTTCATATGTGTTCTGCCAAAGAAGAGGCATCTAATTAAAGTTTTTAACTCTGTACTGATTACGTTGAACTTCGTTTCTACAGAAGAAGAAGAAGAAGCAACTAAGGCATGGCATTTCATAGACGAGCCCACTTTTACTGATCTTCATTGAGTAATCTCTTGCTTTAGACTTTTGATTTTTTCTATGTTACTGCTTGTATTGAGTATACACATGCAAAATGCACTTAAAGTAAATAAGGAACACTGAGTTTCAAATTGTTACTCTAGCTGTAAGCCGTTATATTTTGCAACTGAACTGTAACATGCTTATTGTACCACTCTTTCTGTTTCACTGCTACATTATTTACACTTTTCAAATGTCGGTGATAATTGTATAACTAGGTTGTCCTCGAATTTATGGTTCTATATTTGGGAACTTAACAAGAGCTTATCACATGACGACTAAACTAACTGCACGTCATTCTATGTCTATCTAAAGTACCTATTCATTCTGGTGAAAGAGTTTGAGCAACGTGTATATACGCATCAAATAAATTTGAACAATAGTGACGATTTATTATACATAAATGTTAAATTTTTCCAATATTAAACCTTACTCTATTGCACAACTTTGTTATAATGGAACTTCTCATGATAAATTCAGGATTATTTCACAACAATGCTAGCTTCGGTTATGGCATAATTGGTGAAACATATGACGAAATCTAACAACTGCCTTTGCTCCCAGTTCAACAGGTATGAATTATTGCATATTTTTCAACTAGAGGTCTTGGTTGGTTTTAGTTTGTCCAATCCCTATAGTGAATGAAAATGAGTTCATTGTTTTTTGGTTCATAGTTTTCACTATTTAGAAATACTTTACAAGTTACTTATAAGAAATCTTTTTTCCTGAATCCTTTATATTAGAACAATCTTCCGTCAACTTCTGACATTTGCTATGACATGCATCCTAACTGCAGGTATTCAGCAGATTATAGCATATTTCACTTTTGCATAGCAGACAACGAGCATGATTGGAGAGACGGATCTGAGCAACACAGTTTTATTGAACATTGTCTTGCATCAGTAGACAAAAACAGAAGCAGAGCCTTGGCTGATTTTTTCGGCTTCGCATTGGAAACTTTGCAGGGGTGTTACCTGAGTACTCTTGTAATTACACAGTATTTTTTTCAAACGAAAACACACCATAACTTGAAGTGCACGGGCCAATCCCATCTAGTTAATATACATACACGTATATGGCACCTTTACCAAGTATCTTTCCCTTATCCATTCCATTGATAGGAATATCCATTTATTAAGTGGTACCTACGTAGAACAACAAATTAGATTCCAAATCCCCCTTAATTATTTTTCCTCCACGGTAAGTGTAACTAAATAACAAATTCATGTATAGTAATAAAATTGGGAATTAAAAGTCCTTGTCTCATGCTTTTAAAATTATTTAATAATCAACTCATTACATTTATATTTAAAAAAATCGTAAGTGCTTTATAAATTTAAACTATACTAATATATCATAAGCATTATGACATCTAGAAAATATATGTTATAAAATTATAATTTTTCCATCCAAATATCAAGAGTATAAATTTTTTTACTATTAATTCTCAAAATGGGTAAAGATAACTTTTATTATGAGAAAATAATTTTTAAAAAGTATAAAAACATAACTTTTCTTATGAGGAAGAAATTTCTTCTTATAATACTTAATATTATTTAAAAGTTTTTCATATCATGTGTTTAACTAAAACTTATCAAAAAAAATTTATACTAATAACTTTTGATAATCTTATTTATCCAACATTTACAAAAGAATGTTTCTCTTAAAAGAAAGTATTATATCAAGGCAACGTTTTCGAACTTCAATAAACTTGCGGGTCTTACATCTATAACTTCATGTACGACCTTAATCTCTTCCAACTAATATGGTTTTACTATGATACATCCAAACACTAAGGTACGAGGTGTTACATACTTCTAGGTTTAAAGATAATTAGGATAGTCTAATTTAGTTAATAGTTAATAACAAGTCCTCGTGGGTTTAACATCCGACTTTTAGCCATTTTATTACTTGATGACTGTGCATACTTGCATGTGCATTAGGCCGCAATAGGGATAATTAGTCCATGATTGACAATTATCCATAGGTCAAAGTTAGTGGTCTGAATAAACGTTTCCATACTATCGTCCATTCATCATAGTGGTGTCCATCAAATAAAGGAGGTATTCTAATGTGTATTCCTAGCTGTACCAGAGGATCTGCTCCATTGTCTGGTGTACATCTATCACAACATAAAGACTTATAGCCTCATCCTCTTTCTCTTCCTCTTTATCACTTCCATTGTCCTCATATGCTACTAGAAAAACTTGTTTCATGCTTCAGCGAATCCTTTGCCTAGGATTTTGCCTTTATTTAGGCCCTTCTCTTTCATTTTTCCCTTTTTTTTTTCCAGCTCTTTCTTTCTTGCATTCAATTTTCTATATTAGGCGGTCTTTGACCATGTGGTCTAGCTTGTTTCACTTGTAGCACCCATCGTATGAAGCTTTATCAATCTGCGTAGGTTTTCCACTGTTTTCTCTCTTAAATGCATTTTTGGAATTCTTTATGAACCTCTTGTACTTAGCAAACATTGCTAGGTCAAGGTCAACATTGTCAGACTCATCTTCTTTGGATGCCTTAAGAACCAAGGCCTTATCCCTCCTTGGTTCTTCCTTGCGCAGGCTTTCTCATCTTATGAGTCTTTAAGTTTCCAATCAGCTCATCTAGTGAAATCTTATCCAACTCCGTTGCTTTCTGGATGGTTGATTCTCATGAGGCTGGGAGAATCCGTAGAACCTTGCTAACCAACTCTTCATAAGTGAATACCTTTTCAAGTGATTTCAGTTCATTTATTATTATGGTAAACCTAGTCATCATCTCCTGGATGGGTTCAAACTCTTTCATGGAGAAGAACTCATAGTTCATCATAAGCAATTCAATCCTTGATCTTTTCACTTGGTTTGTTCCTTATTGAGTAGTTTGAAGTGCATCCCAGATCTCCTTTTCATTAAAGCATGCAAATATCATGTTGTACTCATCAGGACCAAGTCCACATATGAGGATCTTCTTGTCCTTTGCATTCTTCTCCATCATTCAGAAATTTGTTGCCACGAATTCAGAGGGGTCTTTGAGAATAGTTTCATTTCTCCCATTTTGTTTAGTGGGAGTTAGTGGATCTCTATTCACTGTATTCCATAGTTCATGGTCTTCAGCCTTTAGAAAACCTTCCATTCTTGCCTTCCACCAACTGTAATATGTTTCGTTAAATGGAGGTAGTATAGTAGTTGACTATCCTTCGTTAATCCCAGGTAGGACACTCATTTTGCTTCCATGATACCAATTGTTAGTTTGAGTGTCTTTCTAAATTACTAAAGAACTTGGTTCTTTACCTTACTCTTTAAGCGTAAGCGAAATAAACAGTAAAACAAACACAACAATTTTTAAGTGAAAAGTCACCCGGCTCAAAAGTGCAAAAACCACGACCGACCGCATAGGATATTAATTTCAACTTTACTAAAATAAATGAGCTAAATGTATCGATTACAAGACCTGTCAATCAATACCACCAGTTTCCTTATTTCAACTATTTGACTTACAAGCTATTCTAACTTGCAAACTCAAACAATTACTTCAACTCATTGATTATGTATGACACTTTGATAACAATTCGATTTTCTAAAACACTTTCACTAACTCACTCAAGAAGAACACTAAGACTAGTAATCAACTTGAGTGTTGAAAATATAGTTCCACGATTGATGTGCAAAAGGATAGTCTCAACAGTCCAAAAAGATACTCCCTCTGTTCCAGTTTATGTGAATTTATTTCCTTTTTGGTCAGTTCCAAAAAGAATGACCCCTTTCTAAACTTGGAAACAATTTAGCTTAAACTTACAATTCTATCCTTAATGAGAAGCTTTTATAACCACACAAATACTCTGGGCCCTTTTTGACTTTTTAGGACCACAAATTCTAAAAGTCTTCATTTTTTCTTAAACTCCGTGCCCCATCAAACAGGTTCACATAAATTGGAACGGAGACAGTAGTATTTAAGTTTCCTGGGCTCAGAGATCTTTTAGGAGTCCTATGCATAGTCAACTTCTCATTTGATAGGACTCCCACAGTTCCAAGGACTCCCCAGATCTTGTGACTCTTGTCTGTCACTTATGCAAGCATATCTTCTTGGACAACGACATTTATCACGTTAGCAGCATTCTTCCAACAAACTCGGACTCGAGTAACTTTCTGAAAAAGATCTGCTTTGTTAGAACCTTCAACAACGACCTTGACGACCTGGTTATTAGAGCATTTCATCAGATACCTTGAGTGCCTAGTTCTTAGAACATTTGTTCTTGACAAACTTTGTTAATCATCAAAACCCCAATACTCAACAAATCAAATATTGTAGACCACAAAAAAAATTAATTATAGTGAACCGGAGGAGGTAATTTTTATCACAAAAATGAATAATTAGGGGCAAACGTTTTCATAGTAACTAATAATCACTAGTTAAAGATGAAATTTGTTGTAGTAAATTAATTCCAGTCCATTTGCTCCACTTCAGAAACTCAAATTAAAACACATGTAGATGGAAGACTGACTCTATTTCACCAACCCAACCCACTAAAATATTCATTAAGTCATATCAGCTGAATATAAAATTAGAGTCTTCATTGAGTGAAGAGAACAAACTAATTAACTTCCCTATATATTTCTCGTATGTAATAAATAATTTAACGTGTACAACCCGATTTAATCTTATTTTAATTCAGGTTTTTTTTTTTCACTTTTAGCTCGCGTCAGAAATTATTTATATTTGACAGTCAAATATGTGTATAAAATTTGTATAATTTTTGTATATAACATGCAGATTGTATATGCATATAAAAAAATATACTCCCCCTATTTCAAATTAGATGAAGTACTTTTCTTTTTTAATCTTTTCCAAAATAAATAGCACATTTCTAAATTTGAAAATAATTCAACTTTTAATTCTTCATTTTATTTATTTTCCTCTTAATGAGAAACTTTTATGAGTACACAAATGTCATGGTCCCACAAAGCTTTACCGCTTAAGCTTTTAAGATTACAAATTTCAAAAGTTTTTTTTTTCCTTAAACTATGTACGAGTCAAACTATTTCATCTAAATTGAAACAGAAAATACATTTTTCGACTATTATTTTGAGATTTCTATTAATACGAGAGTGGTTATACAATATCACTTTTCCCAAAAATTACATTGTCATTTTACTTTTTAATTCCCACATAGAGAATTTTCACGTACGTTGTTTCATTTTACAAGGCACGCTGTTGACTTTGTGGAGTCTTGACTTCTCTCCATTTATCATCAGATAATGACTTACAGTGTAGAAAATACATTGAATTAGTCAAGTGGAATTAATACTGACAAGGTAACACTACTACTTTGAAAATGACTTGATAGAAAATATGTACTCACCCAATTCTGATTTAAGAATTCTATACCACAAAAAATCATGAGAAAAATGGGGATCAGTACTACTTTATTATGGCTTTGGGGAATTGTTTTGGTTGGTATATGGTATTTCAGCCTGTTTGGATGAAGAGAGAATTGCTCTGTTGCATATTAAAGCAGCCTTTAAAATTGCTCATTATTCCACGGACCTCGGTTGATAATAAGAAAAGTGACTTGATAATAAGAAGAGAGACTTCCCATCACCAGCGTCCTCGGTAGCGTGGGGCGCTAGCGCTGCCGCTGGATTTTTTGAGATTTTGGAAATTGGGCCACAAGTAACGCCGCGCTACACTATCCCACCTTTTGGTTTTGTTCCATTTTTTGCTTCAACTCGTGAACTTTCGTCCCACATTGCTTCCGCATGACTCCTACGCATAAAAATACCATAAATTAGCACAAATTATTAGATTACATAGCCGAAATTTACGAAACACAAGCCAAAACGGTACATTTTCGATGGCACCAGCCATCTCACGAGCTTGGAGAGTATATAAGGAAAGATTGTGAGTTATTCTTATGATTTGAGACTACGAGGCGGTATCTCGGTAGTGACTCTTGTTGATATTTCTCTATTGCTGCACTTGTCTAAAATTGTTTGTTTCCTTAGCATATTATTTCTTGTTTCCTCCGTGTTGCTCTATTTGCTCTAGTTCCATGTAGCTAACCTTTATACGCTATTTGTTGTTTCAATTATCATTACTACACTGTCATACTCTTGTACAGTCCTCTTATTTATTCCACTAGGGCCTTGACCTGACCTTGTC